AAAAAAAAGTCTTCACTTACTGTTGATAAGAGAATGAAATCGAGTGTACTTGGTCTCTTGATAAGATCCCACGGGTAGGTAAAGCGGACTTCCACCGATAATACAGGCTAGTGCTTGCGAAGCTTGCGCAAGCCGGGAGAGCTTTTCGCGAGTTACCCATAGAGCGGCGCAAAGAACGCATCTTTGCCTCCATCTAGCCGAGCTTCTTCGACCGTGTCGAGTTTCCTCTTACGTAATACCAAAATTATCATGAATGAGAGATAACCAGAGCTCTTGTAAAGTTTATGTGCGGTAGACTCGATACGCTGTAATTAAGCGCGTCTACGTTTCACCGCTTAAATGTATCCACATGATGTTTTCACGAGATACATATTCAACATTAATTATAGTGAACGTTATTATGCAGGAAATGTTCCAATGATAAACTAAATAAATACGAGCACAATGTGTAACACGTATAACGTGTATAATGTAAACAGCACGTAATTTAACGCTCATAAATGCTCATCAAGCAATTCCAACTCGTGTATAAACTAATTCTATAAAAAGACATGCAAATTGATCGCGTTAAAATTTCTGTCAAATCGAAATAGACGCAACTTGTACGCTGTTCATTTTCTTTTTGCCGTTTAAATCTCGCAGGGAATGCTCATTGACGATCTCGTACGCTGGATCTCGGTAAAACGCTGAAATAATATCCCTTTGATTGCCTCGCGTAATGACAAAGTGTATCCGTAATAATATTGTTGAGCGTGTCATTCCGCAATGCACATCGCACATAAATCCCCTAATAACCGCGACGATGCAAACACGAAAGACATGTGGCTCGATTCACCTTCTCGCTGCACCGATTCCTTTCGTGACATGCCCGAATGAAGGAGGAAGTCGCATTCCAAGGAACATTTACTCATATATGTTACGAGCGCGGCGGAGCGTCTATTAAAACAGCCCGGCATGCCATTGTGTTTAGCCAAAATTGCACAATATTCGTTAGTGATCTTCCAGTTCCTTTTCTCCTTATCAACGTGAAGGAAATATTAAAAAACCTAATCTCTTTATCAATGGGACACGTAAACATTTCAGTCAGTGAAATTAAAGAAGAAAGAGAGAGAGAGAGAGAGAGAGAGAAAGAGAGAGATAGGAAGACAGTGAAGACATTTGCACCTGTAATTAAAAATGAATTAAGTCAAGTGGTAACACAGTAAACATCGTGAAAAGCGTCCGGTTTACTTGTTAATCGCGCCGCTCACGGAAGGTGCAGCGCGAGATAAAACTGCACAGTTACGCCAGGTAATAGCCTGAAAGCCGGGCGCAAGAGCGCAATAAAATATTCAGGATCGCGCGACAAGAAGAGGATGCTGCGGGCGAGAGGGGAAAAAAATGAATCGGACGCGATGCGAAGGACGATACGCCGGAAACGTGTCGCGTTTACAGCCGCGCTATCGCGCTCATAGAATTTCTCATCGGGTTCTCTCCGACGGAATCCCCGTGCGTGGAGAGAAAGGAGGAGAGCGGGGGAGAGAACGGACGACATGCTCGCGGCACCTCCGAGTCCACCGACCGCGTGCCGGGAGCCGCGCGTGAGCAGCAACGGCTCTGTGTATTCCGTTATCAGAGAAATTCCTTGTATCGGCGCCGCCTGAAAGGAACGTTTCCTCCGCGAATATCACTTTTCCCTCCACGCTCGGCGAGCGATCAATGGCCCCGTGTTGCGAGCGAGGAACAGGAAGCGTTTGAGTCTGTCGAAATCCGTCCCGCGGCATCTGAGGTGCCGCGCTGACAGACGCACTTGCATAGCGGATCGCACGGGGAGGTCTCTCGGTGTCAAAGAGGAAAATCACGAGCGAGTTCCACGTGACATCCCCTTGCGCGCAACCCTCTCTGCGTTAAAAACGGCCCGATAGCTTTTTACGCAGACGCACGTATTGTGTATGTACACGACACTAGGAGCGAATACATGTACGTATATACGCGCCGTGAAACGTACAAACTTCAATTTTATCGAAAAGAAATTTCCCCCACCGGGAAACTTCTTTTCATACCGCTGCGTTTATACGCGTACTTTTCTCCTTTCGCGAATTTAAGTTTGTCCAAGTTTGAAAGCGTAAACAGCATATCTGCAAACAGTGCAGTACGAAATGGTATGCCGCTCCGAAATTGATACGTGAAATCGTTGGCGGTCGCGATTCCGAAAATTTCTAAAATAGAAATGGAATTTTTTCAATAGGTCGGCGATTCTCACAGAGATTCCCGGACTCTGAGAAAGCGCGCTGAAAAATATCACGGTTTAAGCGGCAAATGCGCGGAATAAAATATAACGCGTGCATGGAAAATTGATGGGGAAGGATCGTCGATCTTACCCTTCCCTCGCCGCGAGGACGCAGCAAGAAGTGCATTATATGCTTCTCTGTCGTCGTAAATAACCGTGTGTATCGAGGATTCCGGGCCACTTTAAGGAATGAAAAAGATCACGGATGAAATCCGGCGGTAGAAACGAGTGGTTTTAACGACACTCAATCCCCGGATTGGATTGCGTTGCATTTCAAGGCGGGTAGGAAAGGATGCCATGGCGAATATCCGGCGGTTCGTTTCCGTCCTTCCGTCACTTATTCGTGAGATATAGCGCTCACCTCGGCGCCGAGAGTTACGACGCTGTAATATTGAATCACTCGAGTTAGCAGGGGTGTCTTGAGCGCATCGCGGCTATAATAATATGCTTAGGCGGCACGAATCGATTAACAGCGCGAATAATTTCCTGTCGGAGTATTCGCGAATCAATTGCTTCGCGGGCGGTTCTGTTTACGGCGTTGTAATCGAACGCGCATACGGATATATTAGATGGGCTCGTATTAGGCAATTGATCCGCCGCACGCCACCCAACCCTTACCCGACGCCCTGCTCTTTACGTTATCAAGCCGACTGTGATTATAGCTCTCGCGCCCCGGGGGAGTTATCATCCTTTGCGGTCCCATGTCGCGCCCACGTTGTGCCATATTTTGCTCCGACGCAGAGCCCGCGCGGTTGCAGGCTACGTGGCAGACGGGGCTATTTACTCTTAAGCAAGCAACGCAGCGCTTGTACAGGAGTAAATAACGCCAACCCGTCGTTGTGTGATATTTATAAATAAAAAATTGACGCGTGTATACTCGTCAAATATCGTAAAGTAAAAATGAGGCGGCGCAAAAATTAAATGCTGCGAAAATGCACTCCCGCGCGTTTAAAGGGAACGGAACTTCTGTTCGTGCAAATCAAGAGAAGCTAAGCAAACACGACGATGCGTTGTAATTTTAAATCAGCAGCGAATGTCGGCCCGCGCCCATACGCGTGGTGAAGATTAAGAGCCTTCGTACAAACGAAAGTCGTCGAGGCGGAGCGTAAAATGTGTGAAGCTGATACCAAACGGGTAAGTTACATAAGCAACGGAGTGCGACTTAATTCACTCGAAGCGTTAATTAATCACGACGAGGCGATGAAAGCCGATCCCTCGAGCGTCTCCCCGATAACGCGTCGAGCCCGATAAGTCTGCGGATTAAGAACTTCCGAGGCGGCCAAGATTTATCGATACACGATGAATCGAATAATGGCACGATCGGCGCAAGGAGCGCGATTAGTCTCGCTTCCCTGCGCTCGGTCGTTCCTGGTTGAACGAGAATCCATCACATGGACATATTGGATTTGAGAGAGGATCGAAAGCTCGTTTCCTGCAGGCGCATACTATCCATCCACGTGCGCCCGTCGTATTCCGCGATACTCCTGGCGAGAACATTCCCGTCGATCTAATAATTTTCTCGTGGTAAAGTCGCCCTTAACATAAATTGCGATTGTCACGACGGTGTTCCGGGAGGGGAGGGAGAATTTTCCCAGACGTATATTTACCGAAAAAGGTGGTATTGATCGCTGTGGAGCCGCTCGAAAGCGATGCGACGTGTACAAGCCTTAACGCGGGAAGGTATAGGTATTCGACTTATCGCGCGATAGAGATTCAGTCGCGTGAAAAGCTGCGCGCCGGTCCGCCACCTACCAATCTTCCGGAATGTCAATCTTCATTTTTCAAGAAGGCAAAACGTACGACAGTTCCGAAAGCCGCTGAATCCCGGAGTCTGCCGTGCAAGCCGAGTGCTACGTCCGTCCGCCGCATAGAAACTCGATAAACTCCGTGCGACAAGAACGTTGCGGAATTTACGTGCAGTTCAAAGTCCAACGTCTCAACATGGATATCGGACTAGTACTTGTTGCAAATTTGAATAAGTCCGTCCCGATGTTCCGGCAACTTGCGCGCGCGCGCGCGCGCGCAAGAGCATCTCCCGGGAGTGAGAGCGGCATTTGATACGACGTAATCGATAAGGGCACGGTGCTATTTCATACGGCAGCGGTGGCGGCACGAAAAGCGTACATTTCCGAGCAGGATTTCCGTTAATAAATTTAAAAGGGCCGTCGCGCGGGCAAAAATCGATGATGAAGGTGTCGCGACCGCGAGAGCAATTATCGCTAATCCGGTATACGAAGCGCGAGATAAATGGCGAAATGTAATAAAATGCAGCAGCTGCTTCTTCCTCTCGTTCCCTCCCTCGTTCTCTTCCCCGTCGCCGTCGGGGCACGCAATCTCATGCAAATTCAAACGGCTCGCTTCTCTATCGCGGTACGAGCGGGTAACAGCAAAACGGACGACGATCTCGCTGCTTTCTCGACATCCTCTCGACCGCACTCCATCCACAAGCATCTCGCGACTGCAACCGCCGCGCCGTGCCACGTCCAAAGTATTCGAAAGTTAACGAGAATGCAAACAGTCACTCGATGCACGGACGACAAAGGGCCCATCCGTCTCGTTGCAGCAAGGGTGACGTGGTTCTAAAGGCTCTAACGCCTGAAAAATTCGCATTAGAATAAGAAAATAAAGCTGCATGGTAACCGAATGTTACCATGCGAAAAAATACTACACTGCGAAATTCAACCGAGCTTGAATTTTGTCTGACTCTGCAATATGATCTGTGTTGTGGAGCGCCCCTCTCTCTCTCTCTCTCTCTGTCTCTATCTCTTTGTCTCTCTGAGAGCATGAAATGCTACAAAAAGGAAGGAAATAGTGAAGAAAATGTCAGTCGGATTATTCCAGTGGAACGCGCGGCAATACCTTGATTATCGATATCAACGGTATTTAAAATATTTATTCTGGTGCTGTAAGACGTAAGTGGTCGTGTAGAATAGAGCCGAGTGCGGCAAGTAATAACTTGAGAAGCTTTTATTATAAATTGCGCGATATCGCCAAAGTTGCTAGCCGCGAGAAACAAAGTGAACGATCTTTCGCGAGTCACGCCCGCGATTATCAATATCAATAACATAATATCTCAAATATCTCTTGCTCCAGCCACCGAGCGTAAGCGAACGCCGTTCACAGTAGCTTCAAGTAGTCTGTTCTCATTAAAATACTTCATTATAGATTGCGCAATATTGCCGAAGTTCGTAACCGCGGCAAACTTCGACAAAGTGCATTGTTATGTTACTCCCACGTCACAAGTTTGTTTAGCGTTACATTCTGCTACTTGCTGTACCGCATGTCATGTTCAGCCGGTAATCCCGCGATGCGAAGTATATACATATATCATACAACGGTATTAAACTCTTAAAACTCGGAAAATTACCAAGTTGCGACTTGGGGAACGCGAAAGGCGAACAACCTACGAAATTGCGTAACGTAGATTTTTTTTTACGACCGGAAACTGCAGAGGATAAATCCTTTTTCCTTTTACAAAATTACTATTATCGCCGAAATAATGCCATCGAGATTCTTTTGATATATTTGTTGTCGGATCCATGTATAACGCAAGAAATTACGCGATACTGGATACTTATCAGTGTTTTATTAATGATAAAAAACAATTAAAAAATGATAATATAGGTCGTGAGCGAGATAATAGATTAGAAACTATTTTAAATGTCAATAAACACATAAGATATCCTATCTAATCGTACACGATTTAAAATTATATATTTTATAGACGTTTCGAGTGTCTGCCATCGACATCAGATTTAGAATAATCGGCTGATAGCGTCGCACAAGATTACTAACGATGGCGATACAGTTATTGTCCTTAATTCCTCTATTCGCTACTGTTCATGGTGAGTAATCTACGAAGCAATTTAACCGGTTTTGTGTTTAATTTACTGCAACGAAAATTTTATGTAATAACAAATGAATGCAGGCGCAACCTTGGGATTAGGGCCGAGGATAGTGGAAGGAAGACTTGCCGAGCCAGGAGAAATCCCCTACCAAGTAAGAAATTATTACCATTGCATTAATTGCTTTGTCTTAAAAATATGCGTAATTGAAGTTTGGGTACCTGGGTATCGTGGGAATGTTCGGAATTGTTCAATTATTTCCTAGATTTCTATTGCGTTTTCTGGGACAAACGAAATAATTCCGATCGAAATCTATCCCGAACATTTCCACGATAGGTACCCTGGTCGAGCGATAAGTTAACTCCCTTCACTTATAATAGTTGCGTCAATTGTAAAAATGAACGTGCAATTTTTGTACATCCCGTTGTGTAAAATATATTATTTCAGGTTTCTATTCAACTAATTGAAACAGAGCATCACTTTTGCGGTGGATCTATAATTGACCAGTGGCACATATTGACCGCCGCTCACTGCGCAATGCCGTAAATATGAAAATCTAAAGAAACATTTTAAGAATAAGCTGTATTATAGATACGAAAATACGTTCCACACGATAGTCTTTGCAGTAGAAATAGAGCATCACTTTTGCGACGGAGCTATAGTTAACCGGTTGAACATATTGACTGCCTCTGTTCTGTTCAAATTTTCAGTTTCGTTGACTCGAAGGAAGACATTTTGGTCAGTGTGGGAGTAACGGATCTAGAAAAATCGCGTTCGATTTATTTTGTCGAGTCCATTTATGTGCACGAATATTACGACCCCAGCGATTCATGGATCAACGATATCGCTTTAATTAAGGTGACATAGAGTTAATATAATAGCAATCAACGCGTACAGCCTCAATTGAATTGAACAATTTGTAAATTAAGACTGCGCAAAAGAACACGTAGAATGTTCATTTTCAGCTTCAGACTCCAATTGAATATTCGCGTTTGGTAGCCCCCGTCGAGTTGATGACGAATCAAACTGTCGAGGCCACCTCAATAGCAGTCGTATCGGGATACGGCAGATTATGGGTAAGTTTCTTAACAATTCAGACCCTCAGACTCGCAATTTCGAAAATCGTATTTCAAATTATCTTCGTAAATCGCACGTATGTACACTTTATATACTTGCAGTTTGAAGGAAGAAATACTCCACATCTGTACGTCACAGAATTGAAAATAACCGATCGCGCCTCCTGCAAAAGAACATACGCGAAACGTGGGGTGCATGTTCACAACACGCAAATCTGCGCAAATGATCCAACAAAAATAACGGGCGCGTGCCAGGTAAGGGTATATTTACATAAAGGCGCTGCAATAGATCGCCGTCATTAGTTACTGGTCGCACGTGCAATTTTACGCTGTCTACCCGGGCAGAGTCATTAACTACTTAGCCTGCATTATTCTTCTCACGCGAAGCTTCAACTCACCGTCGTTCCTAATGGCTTTTAACGTAATGTCTTAATATAACGCTTGCACTTCGAGTTGCATAACGTGCTTCAGATTCTCGATAAGAATATAAGCCCGATTACATATCACATAATTGACGACAATCATGTGGAGACACATCGCGATCGCAATCCCTCACTTATCATACATTTTTATTTATCAATTAATTTATCAACTTATTAATTAATGTAATGCTCAACAATATACGTGCATGAAACGTGCGATAACTATTTTATTAGCCTTTCAATTCGCGGCATCACTGATCATGTTGCTTGTTAATGCGCCGTATTGATTATTTTGCACATCAACGTATTCGGTTCGTCGTTATATTTTTGTAATTTCATTTAATTGACAGCAAGATTGCACAACCTGCAGAGTCCATTATCGTCAATTTAATTAAAATAACAAAGCGAAAATAGCACAGGCTAGTATCTGTACTAGAAACGTATTTTTAGTTTATTGTAAAAAATAACTTTATTCACGAGTTGGTTTTTCCAATCAAATTCTTGCGAAATATATTGTTAGCTATTGGGAATTGCATTTTTTTTCAGGGAGATTCCGGCGGCCCTCTCACTGTCAATGGTAAACTCATAGGAATCGTCTCGTGGGCGGTGGGTTGCGCTAGCACAACATTTCCCTCCATATTTACACGCGTGCCGTCATACATCGACTGGATAGATGAGCACATCGTATAACTTGAAGTAATTAACGAAATATAGAAATCTATTTTAATGACATATACAGGGAAATCGAAAATCGATGTGTACGCAACTCAATGACCAAACGTAGATGTAATAAATCGCTAAATATACGTCGTATGTATTTTACATATCGTACTGCAGACACGCTTAATACTTTTCCTGTAGCAGTGACTTTTCTTCGCAAGTAAATTAGTGTGGGAAATGAACATTCATTTCCTGACACAACTGGCTATAATATATAGCTATTTGTGTCGAAAAAATGTTTATTCTAAAACTATTCTAAAATAGACATATATTCTTGTAAAGATCAATATCATACAATGTATATTTTATATTGTTATTTATAACTTCCGCGCGCACAGTGTGGCGAAGAAATGGCGGCAGATGGGAATTTGCCTAAAGAAAATGTACATTCGGATAAATTGCGAATATTGCGTACATATATATTGCACGTAATTTCGGTGGTTGATGTGCCAGCGGTAAACGTATCTCAAAAGAGAGAAGTGGGTCAGTCAAAGCAAATCCGTTTAACCATTCCGGCAGCGTGCGCCAAGTGCACGAAATTGTTTCGGAGAGATTAATGAACATTTCTCTCTCAAAAATGGATGAAAGAACCATTTGCATCTGTTTCCTCTTGTTTCTGCGCGACGTTAATTTCCACGTCCCGCGCACGCGCGTATAGAACGAAGAACTTTGACGCGTCTGTTGAGATATGTGCTTCGCATAACGTGCCCCGCCAATTTCCATAATAATCGCTGACGTGCGCCGAAGAAAAGCGTTCGATTTTCCAAATTGTTTTCGCTCGCAAACAAGCGAATTTCGTTAACGAGTTTATCAGGAAAAGAAAACGTACGGTACGGTTTGATTGATATATTGCTGTCGCTGAGAAATTTCATGTCACGAGGTATCGGATTGGAACCTAGTATATAGGAAAGTAGTTTTGCAGAGAGACGGGTCGCACCGGTACTCCTTGCTTTTACGACGCCGTGAAGGCGAAATATCGAAAACGCCTGGCATCCGACCGATCCGCGTTATTTGACTCTGCCTTGGTTCTCATACTTAATGCAGACGAAAGCGGAAACGGAGAACCATTCCCGATACGATAAAATAATTATTACGCTGAAAACGTGGGCGAGAATTAAATACAGCAGATAATAATCCTGCCGCTCCAAACAGTAATCGTGAGAAACGCGCGTGATTACTGTAAGCTCCGAAAACGGTTTTATGATTCCCCGTATTTCCTTTGGTAAACTTTGCGCTGCAACTCACGCTACGCTGCTCCCTCGGGTACCACATATAATTGTTAAGAATTACAGCGCAAGAAGCATTCACAAGCTTGCTTTCTTAGATTTAAGTGCGTTCTAATTTCCCTAAATGCGCTACAAGGACATAAATTACATATGCCTCGCAGTTATTGTTATATTAACAGCAATTCTGCTTCTCTTCGTTATGCACTAACAAAAATTTAGATATTCTGATATTTGAAGAAATAATCCCCTTAAATTCGTCAAATGTTGCGTTACAAAGATACGATTAATAAGTTAATCGATACTAAATTACATGTGCTTCGCGATAATTATTCTATCAGCGGTAATTCTGCACTTACTCATCGTAAACTAAGGAAAACGTAATGTGTTTTGAAAAAAAAACAATACGGATTTTCATTAAGCAAGTCATCAAATTGAAGCCGACGTGGCATTGTTCAATGAAAACTATATCTCAAGACTGCACAATTCGCATGTTAACCAGAATCTACATTGAAATCTTCTCTCAACAAAGCAATAACGCACGCTTAACTGTCTTGCGGAAATTATTCGGAGCTATTCGTACGTGCATTCGTGTGTCCATCGTCACCGGATAAATCTGGATGATTCAAAGACCCTCAACAGTTCGGCAATTGCGCGCATCAACAAACCGAGAACAGCATCGCGAGTCGGACTATTTCACTACCTGTATGATCGATGAGAAGCTCCGGATGCGGGGTCGTCGGACGCAGGTGAGTCCTGGAACAGCGGTTCTCAATATCGCTTCTTGGTTGCCAGGATCGATCGGCTCCCTACCTCCTGCACCTCCCCAAGCCGCCGCAAGGTATCGCGATAACGGTACGTCCAGGTCAAATCGAAAATCGCAGAGCTGTCGATCATATTGTCACGCCTCGACCAACCCTTACGGCCGTGTTACTTTTAATTGGGGATTAGAGGGCCCCGTTTAAAAACGACGATCAACGCGATAACGCGCCGCTTATTTCGGAAATTAACGGATCTCGATATATCCGCTTCAAGTAGGATCATACGGCGACGTTATCGTCCTCGCCTTCGGCCTCAACCGTCATAAGTCGGACTGCATTCCATTAGGTAGGGAGAATCGATCGACCCCTACCTTGGGAACCAGGCATCCCACGGCTGTCTGTCAAGATTTCGTGATAAAGAAGGATGGCGCTTCCGGGACAACTGAATCCAGTGGCGACATTGCGGGGCTGTTCCTCGGAGTGAAGTGTACGAATGCTTCCAGAAACTTGGGAGAACTTCCGTCTCTTTAAAGCTTTGGAGCATTCGGCTCATCATGAAGCTTACCTCGACGCTCTATCCCTCCGGTAATCTTTCGACCGTGACGTGATTGCCGTACGATTGAATTCTACTTGTGTATCTGCTCGCGTATTGGGTAACGCCATTTCCCACGCGCGGAAATCCTCTTTTTAAATATCCCGATATATGAGAAATATAAATTTACGTATTTTCTCAACGAACGTAGCTTTATCCCGTCGGTTTTGATGAAGCTACGTTGCAGCAGCGCAATGAAATCCCCGACAGAACGCCACGTACGAATACGTTCGCTATATGTGGAGAAAAATTTTCGGAGATATTTTCATTTGTATCGCGTGTCATGTGCCTCGAAATGTACGACCTGCGAAACGAGTTTTCCGATAAATTTTGTTCCCTCGCGAGAAGTTCCAAAAATTGGATATCAAATATAAACGTCATCTGTATGGCAATGCGTTAATGAAAGTTTTACACGTTGCATTAACGTTTTCTGTATCTGCAGCCTGTCGCAATGACAGGAGATATGTACTTCGTACCTCCGTACGTTTAAGGGGAGCCTGTGCCAAACTGGGATTTAAAAGGTCCAAATTAGGACTGCATTATTCAGAAGATCACTCGACCGCTTAAAAGCGGCGCGTTTAACTTGCATCGTAAAATAAAAAAAGAAAGGATGATGTCCCTGCAGCATTATCAGCACAAGACCTTCGAAGTATCTGGAGCCGAGCCAACGTCGCCTTGGATGCAGTTTCGCATCTGTTCTGCTATCGATCGAGAGGTCACTCAACCAGGTGCCTTCGTAATGGGTTATGACGCCCCTGGGGATACGCCGCATTGACTGACGGCTACTTCATCCTAATTGGATAAAAACAGCGCACAATTCGCTCATCTCAAAATGATGGATGCGGCATCAGAAAAGACGGGATTTTAACGGGCACTGTTGCGCAACATACACACACACACACACAGAACTGTACCGGCATTTTTAATGCAAATGTTTATACTTGCGATAAATTAGTATGTATTATATGCTGTCATGGGAAGGCGAGCAGATTTTCGTAACGCGGGAGAAGTGGCTCTACTACGTGCGAACTAATTTGTGAGTGTAGTCAGCACTGGGTAATCCCGACACTACTTCCATCAGGTTTACAATTGATGGCGATATTCCAGTAAATAAATGTTCCCTTATCGCGTTGACATTGAATACTCCATAAAAATGAACGTAGTCTTCTCGAAGTTACATATAAAAATCCTATTCTCCGTATTTTCAATCGTCTCGTTGTCAGTATCATCGAAGCGACTATCGACTATTTCCTCGAAATGTATAAAACAAACGTAGTAGGGATGTGGCAATCATATCTTTGCGATGCAATCGTGATAATTTTACAATAAAATTTATATTTAGCTTAAGGATTTTTGCAATGTATAATCATCGATCAATCCGAATGATAAGCTATTCAAAGTCCGACATTCATCAATGTCTGGCGGATGATTGATATTTATTGAAATGTAGGTACATTATACGCGGGAATCTTGCGAAAAAAATTATTAGGTCAGTTTAAAAAATGACAATTCTAACAGCAAGCTCAATTGCAAAATTTCAGGAAAGGAGATGCTCACATAAAATGTAATTGTTCATAAATGCATATTTAAAGCAATTTACGCTTTCAAACGAATAGAAAAAGTTTTTCGTTATTAATCAAAAAATTATCGTTTATTCATACGAAGGCAAATGTTAAACTAATTTATTCTTCAGCTATTTCTTGATTTCTAGATCAAGGTTTATAAATGTAAAATTATATCTATTATTTAGAGATGTCATATCCGCAAATTCCTCAAATACGACAATGCGCGTCGATCCTGCGAATATATTGGTAAACAAAAGTCAACAGAGTCAACAAAGAAATTGGAAACAATCGGTAATTAAATTACCTTACATGTAACTTATCTAATCTTAAACACAGGAAAACACTTGCTACTCAGCGCGTGTGCCACTATCATCAGATAAGTATATAAATTAGTTCAATGTTCGTATTCGAGTAAACGTTGATTGCTGGCGTTTAAGATGTTGTCTTCAGTTTTATTTCTTCTTGGCGTGGCGTCTATCTCCCAGTGTGAGTAAATTTAATATCAATAGAATCACGAATAGAAATTACATTGTATATTACGACGGTAGTGAAATGAGATATGAATTACCCAGTTTTTGATCAATGATTTTAATAAGTGATGAGCAAATTGACACGGTTTGAATCCTAGTGAGAGCAAGTTTCGTTCAATCGATTAAAGTGAATCAAATGAAAATTAAAGTAATGCCTTGTACGTTGGTGTGACAACTACAGCAGAAAAAAGTATTAAAAAGTGCCATTGCAAGTTAAATTTAAACAAACGCTGCATCGACGACGTGTACATTTAATTGCGTCATAATTTGGATTGACTTTCTAATAAAATTTTAGCTTAGTAAGTTTAATATTGTGTTAACAGCCTCCGTTTTGCAAAGATTCGACCCGCGTATCATAAATGGCGAAGATGTAGAACTAGGTGAAATACCGTATCAGGTGAGTTGTGGCCTTATAAAATGACGATATCTGTTCGATTCAAATTACTTTCATACATTACAAATCTAGTATCAGCCTCTCGAACAATGATGCAGATATTCCGTTTTACATGAATCTTGTTAGCCGAGTGCTTGAAAATTTAGAAAGAAGAACTTGTGGTTCACCAGAGATAACGAATGATTTTCCAGGTCTCTCTGCAACTATCAACGAGTAGCTTTCATTTTTGTGGCGGATCTATCGTTAATCCAAATTTCGTCGTTACGGCTGCTCACTGCGTCGAAGGGTAATTGATTTTCATAGCCAAGTAAAATGTGTCTCATGAAACACCAGAGCTTGCCATTGTAAAACACTGCTAATAAATTTCAATTACGATTATTCCATTTGCAGCAAAGTTCCCATGGACATAAAAATCATCGTTGGCACTGTAAACCTGGACCGTCCACGCGTGATACATGCGGCTAAAGAGATCATTGTTCATAAAGAGTACGATTCTTATAATTCGTGGATCAATGACATCGCATTAATTAGGGTAAAATATCCAACTGACTGTTTTTTTTTCAAATCTCATTGACTCCCGTCACGCAACGTTTTGTTTCTTTAGGTGTACACTTCTTTCGTCCCATCGAACGACGTTGGTTTCGTACCTCTGCCCGAGCAAGACGAAACTGTCCAGGAAGGGGCTGTGGCCAGAGTTTCCGGATTTGGAAGATTATCGGTAAGCGCGGCCCAAATTCCACGCGATATATCGTGTGCCGCAATTTGAGATACCTACAATTCTAACGCCGTGATTTTCGTACAAATTACAGCAAGACGGACCTGGATCCAAAATCTTGCAAAAGGCTACCATTTACATAGCAAAACAAAGCTATTGCAAGAAGATGTATGAAAAGCTTATATACAATATTTACAACACTCATATTTGTGCCAACGACCCGAACGTCAGTCGAGGATCTTGTAATGTAAGTGCAACGAGCGTATAAAAGTTTTCAGCCTATATTTAATCCTTAACATAATTATAAAAGATAAATTAAACGTAACTCAGAGGAGACAAGCTAAACAATTACGAAGAATACTTGATTAATACTTTCCGCGAAATATATCACAGACAAAGAATTACAAAGAGGAGCAACAGTTGGTGAAAGCTGTGTATCGCTTTATAAGCGTCACACGAGCTTTAAGCATTTTATGCATGCGCGTTCTCGTTTTAATTTTAAAAAACATTTTAATCTCCTTTGCAGGGTGACTCGGGCGGTCCCTTGATCGTTAATGGAAAACTCGTCGGGCTTGTATCATGGGCGAAAGCTTGTTCCCTTACTGACTATCCGACTGTGTACACTCGCGTACCTTCGTACATCAACTGGATCAAGGAGAATGCCGTATAAATTCACTTGATATTCATTATTCGTATAGACTGACGATCGCGATCGCAATTTACACAAGCATATCAGGTTACGTTCATGTTTCTCTCTATTTTATTTCGTCACGCTGTGTCAGCACAATAGACTTTCTTATCTCGCGCAGACAAAACGTGTTAATGTCGCCAGATTATGCGGTATCTGCTAAACTGATCGCTAACGTGATTAAGCTATCAGTGTAGACACGCACGGAGATCAGTCCCGTGTCAGAAGCCGCAATTTAAGCAAGAAATTTGTAATGCAAGCACATTCGCATCGATAATTCGTGTTACAAATATGCTTGCGTTATAATTTTCACAAATCTCGCAAAATATTTTGTCGCAGTTCTAAAATCTATAGCAAACTTCTGTCTTTCACCAGCGTTTCTTTCATGTATCTATTATTTATAAATAAGAAAGAGATTTTCGTAAATTTCGAATAATGCGCAAAGGATGTCATTATTCGCGAGAATTATTGTACTAAGAGTGTGTTAGAATATTTAATATTATAGGATGTAAATAGGCTACTTTTTGTATCTGCCGTTAAATTTAAATTTAAATTATATGTACTCAAAATCTCTGTACATAAATGTTGTGACTGCGTGAAGAGGAAAAGATCCGTAATATAATATAGTTTAATTAAAATAACGTTACCTCTTTATGAATAAATGGCCCTTTAATCCAAACAGTCGACTAAGATAAGCGAGCGCGACAAGTCGTCCAGATTATCTTACGTTTTTTGCATTTGTCTCGCGGAATAAAATCAGACCGTAAAGAAAATTAGAGTTACAGAGCAGAATAACATGCTAAATAACGTCGTTTAGATAAAGTCATCGGTAAAGTCATTAGGTAACGTCACATATTTCTCAGCCGTATTCTCTGTCTATAATTAGTTGCTGCACACACGATCATGATTATTCATATAATCTGCTCCGCCGCCTTGACGATAATTAACTTACCCCCGTAGCGCTGCTAACTTGCCATGAACGCGCACCGGCCGTAATTTGCACTTGACTAATTACAGAGGCGTTACGCGACATTACAGCAGTACCGCGATTAACGCAATTTATTTCTCGCGAGGATATAAGAAGCGTCTGTTTGTTCCCAATAATACACGACGTAATAAGTGAACGTTAACGTGTTATCCGGCAACACGTATTCACACGTTGACACAAGCAGTTTATGATATACTGGGCGGAAACGTGCGAAATCTGCCGGCGTGGTTTATGCACGAGGAAATACTTGTTGATCTAAAACGATCTTCTATTTGCACGCGCCACTGCGTTGAGATTAACGTTTTATTAGTTCGACAAACACGCGTAGTGCAGTTGCGGTTGTCGTTAATAAATTTATCGATCGTCTATATTGGTCAAATCAACAGACTCGATTATCATTCTGAACGAGGCGACGTAACTCATGCATGACCCCATATTGCCGCCGCTGGCAATTTAAACAAATCAATAACAGTTTCCCATATGTTTTTAAACGGTGCGGTATGTTGCTCGATAAATATGGAAGTTCCATTGATATATTGGCCAAAAACAAAATCTACGTTTCTACGCTCTTTCTGTTTTTATTGAAAACATAAAAGAATTGCATCTTAAATTAATTTGGCAGTTTCGACAAGTAACTTACGTATGCAAATATTTACGTAGTGATATTAATTTTAGCTGGTCAAATCGCGCTTTACATTTCCATACTACAAACGCAATTCGGTTGTACGCGTTATCGTCACTTAAAATAACTATGGGCCGGGTGTTCCAACCACTTGGTAAGTTAACTAATAATTAAATCAAGTATGTCTTTGTTGCTCTTTTAAATTAAACAAAGATAGACATATAAGTTAACTATTCCCTTGAGAAAATTTACTTTAAATTAAGTCAAAGTTTTACAAGTACACTTTCAAATCTAAGAGTTTACTTAAAGAAGTTAAAAGCTTACTTAAAAAATTTTGGAGTAATTTTGGACACTTGAAGTAATTTTTAGATGGCCAAGACTGTCGAAGTTCCCGCTAGAGGGCCGCGCGGCATAGCACTTTCTCGTAAGAAGAAAACCGCACGCGAGATTAGAAATTATATCAAATTATATCACATACTTTTCACAATTCTTAAAGTTTTCTTTTAAATTCTTAAAGTAAGTTTTAAGTTTACCTTAAATAACAGTTTAAAGTGTCCTAATTCACTTTTCACAGTTCCTATTCTTCTAAAGTAAAATTTCAAGGTTTTCTAAGGTACATTTTCCCCAAGAGTTAGTTTACCAAGAGTTTGGAAAAACCGGCCTTATGAGAAGCGCTATATCTTCTCGATTTCACCTTTAAGGTGAAGATAAAGCTTTCTTTTTCGAAAGATGAAATCGATTTCGGGTATCGTGCCCGACGAGACTGAAGCAAAATGGAGATAAAGAGAGCCTCGTATCATACAATCGTACGAATGATAACCACGAGTGCGAGGCTGGGCGTTAATAAGCGGCGTCGATATCCGCACAGGACAGATCCGAGAATTTTACGCAAACTGGCAATCGATGCTCTTTTTATCGCGACGGGTCATGCGCGTAGCGTCGTAATGTGTAGACGCCACCGTCTACCACTTTTCCGAGGACGTGCAAGAGAGGAGAAGCGAGGAAAACCGCACGCACCCGCTCAACCGTCTCTGACGGTCGCTTCAGCGAGGGCATTGTCGAAGTTCAACGTACCTCAATAAATCGTGCAATTGTTAAGAAAATCGCAGAATAATGCCGTGATTCCGACGCGACGTCCTGACGTTTTGATAAACGTTTTCTTTATTCCGCCGTAGCTATAATCACTATCGTGACCTCGTTTAAATCACGTGTGAATTAATAATAGCGAACTATATTGAAATAACTCTTTAATACAGGGAAATTAATTAATTTAATTAAATGTCGAAATATAGATAATTAATTATAAAAATCAATGGTGTTTGAGCAACTTGTGGAAATATAAAATTCATCATATTAATTCAGAAATCTATTCAAAATTACTCGTAGATAAAAATATCTCCGAGAACGTAAAACACATTACAACAATATACATGTGTGTACATGCTATATAAAGTATAAACGCGGTAAAACGTCTTGTTAATGATAATCATTATAATACGAATTATACACGCCTCTCTCCACGTAAATAATAGCCCAGGAAATGCGTACTTTTATACTTCTTCTCATAAATTCTTCCTCCCTTTAAACGCGCTCGCTTTGTTTGAAAATCTTGGCAATTTTACGCGTGGAAGGAAAAACCGTGTTCCCCCGATTCTCACGAACGCCAGCGCGAGAAGCGCCCGTTGTTCCCGGAGAACCTTTTGAACCTTTTATTCCATTTGTAGTTTTGCAACAACCGATATTCCAAAAGGGACTCTTGAATAAAACATGCGACAGCAAACTTCACCGACGTAAGGAAATAGATTCCCCTGTGCAAACAATATGCGCTCGTATAATGCACGCCCAACGAGCAAATTTGCGAAGTGGATTTGTGAGCAAAGCATAAAAATGTATCAGTGCAAAGATATAATTTCTTCTGTTCCATTTGCCGCATTTTTACGCGCCTGCCTATCATTAAAACAAGCGCTACTTATCGTGGCACTTCTGTTGGCAAACAATTTTTATAAAACACCGAACGGCAGCGAAACAGATTCTAACTGATAAGATGGGCCCCCCTAACTCACATTTGCTATTTGAAATAGGCGTGATTGAGGAACTTATAGTTTCGATTCACATCCGATATGTTTCAAGTGCGCGCATTGCGAAGCGAATTATTTGAAATATTTTTTATCGCACCAAAAATATTTTTGTTGTACGATTTTCATCGAGTTACCATTATCACAGTTCATAAACGATCGCGCTCCTATTTGTACAATACACCGTCATAAACATATTGATAAATACATTACTCAAATTTGATAAATATCCTCATCGGTATCGCATACAGATGTCACAAAATAAATAAACATTTAATAACTGCGATGTTACGTCAACGTTGAACATTAAACACTAATAAAATTTGAATGTCCAATTTTTCAACCTACTTTTCTTCTACCTCGGTTTCTCATCAGCAATGAAAAGCGCAATCTGCGATTACAAATTCTGAACGAACTGCATTCATCGCTATGAATTCGCTTGAGAGTTAACTAATTCCATGTATGAGTTGTAAATTTATTTGGAACTACCACATGCTACTAGGAAGTTTAATAAAGGCCGGGCGAACACGATTGAGAGTTCGTGCACGCAAAGTATCAGTGATGTCGATCGACGCTTTGATCATCCATTCGGTCGATTACACGATCAAGGCACGAGGTCGCTGGTTGCGGACGAATCCTGAAACTCTGACAGCCCGCAGCCATCCTGGACCTGTGCGATCGATTGTCTCCTACTTATCCGTTCAACGGTCCGTCAGGACTTTCTGATAAAAATTCGCAAGCTATGAGGACCGAAACTTCATCCCTCGTGAGACTTCCTATTGAAATTAGCGCCGCGAGCATGGAACTTTTAAGAAGACTATTAAAGTTTTTAATATACAGCGTAACTTACAATTTTCGACAAACTTATTATCTCGCAACGTCAATCTTACATCATTTTTCCTAATATAATAATTGCAAAAATTTTACAACATTTAGTTTACACAATCCAATATAACACTGTGCGAATCTAACAAGAAAGTTGTTCTTCTAGCTCATAAAAAGTCAAGAAACTGATGAGATTTTTAATAGTCATTCATATCTAATCTAACGTGTAAGTTGTTTGCGTACAAGTTAATGAGCGATAACTTTAATCAATAGATTAATTCCGCGAAGATAAAAATATTATTGTCTACGGAGGTACAAAAAAACCAACTCATTATGTGATTCATTAAATGATAAACTATACAAAATGCAAAGCTTAATGATGTTATTATCATATCAATCGAAAAACTCATATCCGATTTAATCGCATTAAAGAGCTGTTTGAAAGATACATCAAGCTAGATTAAGAGATATGGGAAAATCCGAAACCATATCATATATCACAAATGAGACGGAATACGATTATTGTTTCCACAGAACGATAAGAAAAGTAATATTAATAATAACTTGAAAAAACATTACACATAATGACTTGTTACAAATTATATCCGTTCTAAGTGAAATATGTTAAAATTTATTTAATCTTGATGGTTGTGTTAAAATGATCTCAAATAAAAAACTGTGTACTAAAATATTTTTTAAATTTATATAAAAAGCTACAAATTGGTCGACAAACGACTAATGTAATTCTTTAAATTAATAATTTTTATATTTTCAAAAGTTAAAATACAATCTCAACTAACGTATAAAACAACGATCAATCGCATACGGAGAACATTTCGAGGGAATAAGATTCCAGTGACACAGTATCGCGTGCTTATCAATACAATTGATCATTGCAATCTGTACCAACGACATCTTCGATATTCTTCTTCAAAACTGATATATCTTATCTAGATTTCTTAAGAAAACTTGTCAATCATTGGACTAGGTTTACGGAAGTGGGGCGATGCAATTAGAAACAGATACGTATAAATTCGCGGTCGTCGTTTTCATATCACACTTCGGTCAGTGAACAGACCATGGCGTTGAGAATACTGTGCCTCCTCAGTCTTCTGGCTTTCTCCCACGGTGAGTAATGATCCTCTCGAGTTAACTGATAATAATTCGTCACACAAGCGAATACAAATTAACGTAGTTGCCCTAGAAATATCTTGGCAACAAAATCGCTTTATTGTTTCATATTACTCAAAAATAATTTTCTGTGAATTATATGGCAGTCATATATTATACATGAATAGTAATATATAATCGCAAAATTATTGTTAATAACTTTCAACAAAACTTGGTTGAATGACTGCCAATCCGCAGACTTAAAAATGTATTTTAAAATACACCTGAGAAACAAACTTTGTTTTTCTGTTTGCGAAAATTGCGTTTTTTGGTTGCATTTTACAAATAATAATAATGTTTTACCGTTGCAGCTGGGATCCTTCCACTCTTTGATCCCAGAATCGTGAATGGCGAGGATGCCAAAATAGGCGAGATACCGTATCAGGTACATGTTATCAAAAGATATCTTCATTAGAAAAATAAACATGTATAAATTAGTATACGTAAAATGTTTATATGAAAATACTTTCCATTTTAATTAAGTGTAGGAACGTGTACATGAAAATATTACTCGAACAAATGAGCAGATATTAGAAGATTATGATATTTACAGGTGTCTCTTCAAGAACGTGCTTCTAACTTCCATTTCTGTGGCGGCTCCATCCTGAACGATAACTATGTCATCACAGCAGCCCACTGTGTTTCCGGGTACATATTATTATTATATTATTCCTACATTTAATAAAATAATTTCATATCATGTTAATATATCAATCAACTATAAATTTTTTTATACGTTCGTAGAAACATTATTTTACCAATGTAAGAAATATGACTCACTGTTATATATTTAAACGAAAATTTAAGCAATTATAAATTTTGTATTGTAGCAAATCTGCAAGTGGAATAAAAGCTGTTGCTGCAACGATTGACCTAACCAAACCGAAATCGCAGCATAATATCGTAAAAATTATTGTACACGAAGAATATGACGCATCTAATTCCTGGATTAACGATATCGCTCTACTGAAGGTAAGCGGGACTTAAAATTTCTGTTCACTTGATGCAATTACGATCATTCTATTTTTTCTCCTAATTATAAATTACAAATCTCAAGTAAAAACTTTCAGGTTCAAAATCCCTTCAAAGAATCGTCCACCGTCGGACACGTTCCTCTGCCACCAAAAGGTCACGACGTTAAGGCTAACGATGTAGCCGTTGTCTCGGGATGGGGCAGACTCTGGGTGAGCCTTTCATCATTCTACTTATCATCCAATTTCCATGTAGAAATTGCTAGTTCCGATTTTTTATATTCAATTATTCTGATATCTGAATACTTATATAAAATATGGTATAAAAGGATAAGAAAATTTAGTGCCATTTTGAGAGCAGCAGTTATAAATATTATACGAAATTGCAGCAAGGTGGACCAACTACCACTAAGCTACAACGAGTCAACATCCTCATCGCTGACCAAAATTACTGCAAGTATATGTACAACAATATGGGATACAATGTCCGTCCTACGCAAGTTTGCGCGTATGATCCGTCAATAGAGAAAGGTTCTTGCCACGTAAGTTTCTCCTAAAATTTTACTTATCATGCATCTGTCCATCTCTCTCTCTCTCTCTCTCTCTCTCTCTCTCTCTCTCTCTCTCTCTCTAATTAACATACTCAATTTATAAACAACGAATTTATAAGCACGATCAAGTAAAACCGCGATGCACTCTAGACATCAAGTTTTAACACCTTGTTTTTTCCAGGGTGACTCTGGTGGCCCATTGACTGTCGGTGGAAAACTCGTTGGATTGGTATCCTGGGCGAATGGCTGCGCCAGCACCACCTACCCCACCGTCTACACACGCGTTGTCTCTTATCTGGATTGGATTAAGGCTAACGCGGTCTAAACCTACTAGCTTCCAACTATGATTCGTACTCTGTCCTTCGTATAACTTACTAAATGTCGGTCCTTACAACCGAGGGAAGGAGATATTTCTTCATGTAAAAAATGTGTGATAACGATGCGACATAGGGTTGTACATAGTAGGTGCCCTCAAAATTCTGTACACATTTTCGACGAAATAAATATTAATGATTCATTAAAAAAAAACCACTGGAGTTAGACCACCCAAAAAGGCCGTGACAAAGAATTCTCGCGCGACAGATGCCTTTTATCACTTGTCACGTATCGAACTCAAGTGAATTTCGATATAGAACTATTGGATAGAGCTAAAAGTCGAATAGAACCCCGGCTCTGTCGCGAAAACAATACTCCGTGACCGCGCGACACTGACGTGTTGCTCTCATTTCCGGTGACACTTGGCAGAGCGAAAGCGGTGGACGCGCACGTTTTAGCCGTAATTGACAGTCACGATTATAACGGCAATTCTCAATTCAGTAATACATTACCGTAGATTGAAGATATTCGTTAATCGTGTCAATAGTAGCCGACTCTCTCAAAGCCAATCGGTGGATTATCACTGAAAACAGTGAATAGTCACTGTTTTCAGCGATAATTCGCTGATTGACTTTTAGAGAGCACTAAGTGTATTCTTTTTACTTCCTCTATAACGCCTAGCGACGCGACGTTGTACTTGTGGAAAAGAAAATAGAAAATAAGAGACGTTCTTTGGAAAATCAGGCGCATGTCTTCCTTAAGATTCACAAATATAGAAAAGGGAATCGGAAACGAAAGAAGAACTTTCGGCAAGCTGCGACCGCCAGAAAGAGAAGATGTTACAAATTCTATCCGTTCTAAGTGAAATATGTTAAAATTTATTTAATCTTGATGATTGTATTAAAATGATCTCAAATAAAAAATTGTGGACTAAAATATTTTTTAAATATATATAAGAAGCTACAAATTGGTCGACAATCGACTAATGTAATTCTTTAAATTAATAATTTTTATATTTTCAAAAGTTAAAATATAATCTCAGCTAATGTATAAAACAGCGATCAATCGCATACGGAGAACATTTCGAGGGAATAAGGTTCCAATGACACAGTATCGCGTGCTTATCAATACAATTGATCATTGTAATCTGTATCAACGACATCTTCGATATTCTTCTTCAAAACTGATATATCTAATCTAGATTTCTTAAGAGAACTTGTCAATCATTGGACTAGGTATATGGCAGGGGGGCGATGAAATTAGAAACAGATACGTATAAATTCGCGGTCGTCGTTTTCACATCACACTTCGGTCAGTAAACAGACCATGGCGTTGAGAATATTGTGCCTCCTCAGTCTTTTGGCTTTCTCCCACGGTGAGTAATGATCCTCTCGAGTTGACTGATAATAATTCGCCACACAAGCGAATACAAATTAATGTAGTTGCCTTAGAAATATCTTGGCAACAAAATCGCTTTATTGTTTCATATTATTCAAAAATAATTTTCTGTGAATTATATGGCAGTCATATGTTATACATGAACAGTAATATATAATTGCAAAATTATTGTTAATAACTTTCAACAAATCTTTGTTAAATGACTGCCAATCCGCAGATTTAAAAATGTATTTTAAAATACACCTGAGAAACAAACTTTGTTTTCTTATTTGCGAAAATTGCGTTTTTTGGTTGCATTTTACAAATAATAATAATGTTTTATCGTTGCAGCTGGGATCCTTCCACTCTTTGATCCCAGAATCGTGAATGGAGAGGATGCCAAAATAGGCGAGATACCGTATCAGGTACATGTTATCAAAAGATATCTTCATTAGAATAATAAACATATATAAACTAGTATATGTAAAATGTTTATATGAAAATACATTCCATTTTAATTAAGCGTAGGAACGTGTACATGAAAATATTACTCGAATAAATGAGCAGATATTATAGAAGATTATGATATTTACAGGTGTCTCTTCAAGAACGTGATTCTAACTTCCATTTCTGTGGCGGCTCCATCCTGAACGATAACTATGTCATCACAGCAGCCCACTGTGTTTCCGGGTACATATTATTATTATATTATTCCTACATTTAATAAAATAATTTCATATCATGTTAATACATCAATCAACTATAAATTTTTCGATACGTTCTTACAAACATTATTTTACCAATGTAAGAAATATGACTCACTGTTATATATTTAAACGAAAATTTAAGCAATTATAAATTTCGTATTGTAGCAAATCTGCAAGTGGAATAAAAGTTGTTGCTGCAACGATTGACCTAACCAAACCGAAATCGCAGCATAATATCGTAAAAATCATTGTACACGAAGAATATGACGCATCTAATTCCTGGATTAACGATATCGCTCTACTGAAGGTAAGCGGGACTTAAAATTTCTGTTCACTTGATGCAATTACGATCATTCTATTTTTTCTCCTAATCATAAATTACAAATCTCAAGTAAAAACTTTCAGGTTCAAAATCCCTTCAAAGAATCGTTCACCGTCAGACACGTTCCTCTGCCACCAAAATATCACGATGTTAAGGCTAACGATGTAGCCGTTGTCTCGGGATGGGGCAGACTCTGGGTGAGCCTTTCATCATTCTACTTATCATCCAATCTGTAATTTCCATGTAGAAATTGCTAGTTCCAATTTTTCATATTTAACTATTATGATATCAGAATACTTATATAAAATATGGTATAAAAGGATAAGTAAATTAAGTGCCATTTCGAGAGCAGCAGTTATAAATATTATACGAAATTGCAGCAAGGTGGACCAAGTACCCCTAAGCTACAACGAGTCAACATCTTCATCGCTGACCAAATGTACTGCAAGTATATGTACAACAATAGGGGATACAACATCTATTCTACGCATGTTTGCGCGTACGATCCGTCAATAGAGAAAGGCTCTTGCAACGTAAGTCTCTCCTAAAATTTTACTTATCATGCATCTGTTCATCTCTCTCTCTCTCTCTCTCTCTCTCTCTCTCTCTCTCTCTCTCTCTCTCTCTCTCTGTAATCAACGTACACAATTTATAAACAACGAATTCAAAAGCACGATCAAGTAAAACCGCGATGCAATCTAGACATCA